TGATTTTAGCCGTTCAGTTCATACAATGTACGAAAGGTTAGTAAGGCTACTCTAGTTACAAACGACCTTCAAATCATCAGGTTGTCCGAACAAAAATTTCTCCGTACAAATGTGACTTCACTCATCAATAGGTCCAAGATATCTACAAATCTATTTTAGCCCACTATGCTTCACGTATTGTTGAAAGAAATTCATCTGAAACATGTGTGTCGGACCATCGGAACAGTACGTGTCAAAGAGGTCTTTCTTCGGTGAAACATCCTTTTACATACCACTTGGATTTTGATGCGGCATTCACCTGGAACTCAGCTGAATCTCTTGTTTATGATGTTCTTAAGTACCTTAATTTTTATAGTGCTTCAACACAGCATAGTTGCTCGTAAAAACTTTAGATAGATGTCAGGATGTTATATCACTGGCGTGTTTGTTTCTGACAATTAATAACTTTTACTGTGCGGTCGGTAAACGAGGTCACTTACAACAAGAATCATCCCAGCTAAGGTAACTTGGACCGTTCAAAGTAAGGGATCTCCATTTGGGAGAACTAGCAAACCTAATCATATCCTTTACAGAACTTGCAATTGCAAACTCGAAATGGCTCACCAGGCCTCAGAGGTAGCTGACGATAAACAGTCCCCTAGTTCTGCATTCCACAACCAACTAGTGAAAGTGCAGGCGGATATTTTTGTAGCTTACGTTGATAGAGTTACCTCAGTAAAAGTTTAGATGGCCCACGCTATCTAAAAATTTATTGTTTTAATGCCTAATCGAGGTTGATTTCGATAAAATAGACGTCCCTGTAATAAACTTNCCACAGTCACGTCACTCTTTCCTCCACTGTCTTCTCTTATTTCTCTTATTTCAAAATTGAGGTTCTTAGTGGAACTTGGGAAACTTTATGGTTGTATGGCGGTGAAATCAAAGAATCTGGCTGTGGAAACGGCCGTGTAATCCCTCGAATTGCTTGAAAACTTATCCAGGGAGACTGGTCCAAATGGAAAAAACGATGTATATGTCTGGGACAATGTGATTTCAGGTTTAGAGGAAATACTTTCTCCCAAACGACGTTCGAAAAACGTCCTTGCGAAGCTGAATACTGGTCATGGTGACTGAAACTCAGGGATAGTCGTTAACTGAGTCAAAGTAAAGGCCTTAATACATTTCACATCTGCATCTTGTACAGCAATCATGAAGCCTACTAACAGATACCTTGAATACATCAATACT